AATACTCCAGATATGGTCTCACCAGTGCCGAATAGAGGGGAATGATCACTTCCCTCGATCTGCTGGCAATACTCCTACTAATGCAGCCCAATATGCTGTTAGCTGGATATGAGTCAGTAGTGTGCCCTTGTTGCCAAGAAGGCTATTTGTTTTAAAACACAACATTTCTGATTTCTACTCAGTTTCCCCTTTCTTTTTCAGCCTGTAGGATTTTTTCAGTGATGGCAAAATCATCATTGTTGTGGTGATTTATTATTTTTTGAGCACTGGCCAGGTGCAGAATATAGAGTTGACAAGGTCTCTGCCCAGAGACCCAGTGTAACATCCAAATTCATCATCATACAAATGACTGTGAGAAGGTATTTTTAAGCAACATGTTTGGTAACCTCTTAAGTCGAAGCAGTCCAGTGGTTAGAAGAGCAGCCGGTGCACCAAGACCCTTGAGGTCAGTTCCTGGCTCTGATACTGACTCATTTGTGTTGCTTGAACCTGTCTGTTAATGTCCCTGGGTTTCAATTATTCCATGTTTAAAATAAGGCAGAAATACTTCCTGGGAGAGGAGTTGCAAGCCATATTTAATTAACTTCCAAAAAGTGCTTTGAGATCCTCTTGGAAAGGGTCTTATAGGAGTGGAAATATCAGTATTAATAAATACTAAATTATATATATTAGTAGTATTAAGGGGCTTGATATTGCAAACCTGACTCATTCCTTCCTGCATTTGAAGCCATTCAAACTACTGAGGTATGGAAGAGTTTGTAGGACCAGGCCTTACATCTTTAACCTCTGGGCCAGTACCTCACTAATCTCACTCGGGATTCCAAGCATAGTGATATTCCAGGCAGTTCATCTCTCTACAGTCCATGATTATAAAGTGTTTCCTGCCAGTAAGCATAATTTGAGTTCTTATTAGTTTGTTAAGGTTTTTATCGTGCTGCTGAATGTTTTCAGGCAAAACTGTGCTGATTGGGAGGCAAGGAATTGTTTGTAGAGCTGAAAATCATTCATAGAATTTGTCAAGGAGTGCCCCTTCTCCTTCTCAAAAGGATGTGGTGAGGGTGCAACCAAACTTAATTAAGTCTTAGATTTTAAGACCAGACAGGCCCACTTTGTTCATCTAGTCTGACCTCCTGCATAACACCGATTGGAGAATCTCAATCAATAATTTCTGCATCAAGCCCATAACTTTTGTTTCAGCTATAGCATCTCTTTTAGAAAGACACCAGTCTTGACACGAAGACTGCAAATAATGGAGAATCCACTACAACACTTGACAAGTTGTTCCAAAGGTTAATTACCCTCACTGTTTAATAAAACCCATGCCTTAATTGTAGAATGAATTTATCTAGCTTTTGCTTTCTGCCATTGGTTTTTGTTATGCCTCTTTATGGTAGGTTAAAGAACTGTTTACTGTCAGAAATTTCTTCTCCGTGTAGGTACTTGTAGACCATGATCAAGTCACGTCTTAACCTTCTCTTCAATAAACTAAATAGACTGAGCTTTTTTAGCTTCTCACCATATGATGTTTTCCAGACTTCTCATAATGGCTAAACAGACAATTTGGAGGCCCATCCAAGTCTGCAGCACCATACCCCAGCA